ATCAGCAACAGCACTGTAGTGTTGTACGTGTGATGATGCATCGGCATGACGCACGGGCGATAGTACATCAGCAACAGCGACTGCATGTGCGTACGGGTGATGATACATCAGCAACAGCGACTGCATGTTTGTGTGGGTGATGATACATCAGCAGCAACTACGCCTAAGAGTACGTGAGATGATACATCAGCATGTATGTACGGGTGATGACACGCCAGTTTTACTTATGGGTGATGATACATCAGCAACAGCAGCTGTATGTACATACGGGCGATGGTACATCAGCAGCAGCAAACTGCATGCACGTACGCGGAATGATACATCAGCAACAGCAACTGCATGTTCGTAGCGGTGATGGTACCTATATCGATTTTTGCGTTTGAACCAATGCCCACTGAGGTTTCCTGTGACAATGGTCCGCAGGTCGGCTTCTTCAGATACAGGCGTGTTAATATTCATCCAGTTCATCATGCGTGCTGGCTTCGAGGAAGCCGAACCTGTGCATGCCCGAATGCATACGTGTTTATCCAATCTGCGGAGGACATGCGGCTCCTGGTAGTAAAATGTGTGACATGTGCCACTAATTACATCGATCGCATTGCTGCTTCCCGCGCCAGGCCGAACCTGGCGTTTATCCGGACTAAAGCGAGACAAAGCAGACAAGGCAACGATAAGAAGGTCGACATGGCTCTGGAATGCCTGCCGTGCGTGTCACACGTAATCAAATACCAAACAAAGACCAAGCGAATGTGTCAGATGCCGTGACGGGCCGTCAGGTGATGTTTGTTCAGCGAACGCCACGAGCGTGTTTGTGCGACATGTGTTTCAGCAGCGGCACCCGGCGTGATCCTGTCCCACATAATCACCCCCCGCCAGGCCCCAGTGTAGCCTGGCTGTCCGCCGTACAGAATGGCCGCCCCCCACGGCCCAGCGTCGGACATCAATCCCTCATTGTGCTTCCCCTGGCTATCGCCACCGTTTACCGTTCGTCGACAGCAGCACGAGACTGTTTGTCAGCCGCAGCCTAATTAAATGACGCCGCCGGCCCCACTCCCCCGGCTTTTCCCGTGGGTCCATTGTTGAGAAGCGCTGGGTCGGGCCGGTGGGCCTCCCCCAAGCTCCGCGGCGTGTCAAAGTAATGGATCGCGCCACCGGAACAGCCGACCACACTCAGCTACCACTGAGCACCGGACTCCCCCTCTCCTCCTCCCTCCCGCCCTCCCGCCTCTCTCCTTTCTCATTCTCACTCCCTCCCTCTCACCCTTTTTCATTCTCCTCCCTCCCTCTCACCCTTTCTCTCTCTCCCTTTCCCTCACTCACTCCCTCTCCCTCTCTCTTTCCCTTCCTTCCTCGCTGCCTCTCTCTTCCTCTCTCCCTTCCTCCTCCCCCCTCCCTCCTTCCCTCCCTCTCTCCCTTCCTCCCTCTCACCCTCTCTCACTCTCTCCCCCACCCTCTCTCCCCTCCTTCCCTCTCTCCCTTCCTCCCTTCCTTTCACCCTCTCTCACTCTCTCACTCTTTCCCCTCCCTTCTACCCCTCTCTCCCTCCCTCTCCCTCTCCCTTACTCCGTCCTTCTCTTTCCCTCTCTGCTCTTCACTCCCTCCCCTCTCCCTCCCTCCCTTGCTCCTCCCCTCTCTCTTCTCTTCTCTTCTCTCGTCCGTCTCTTTCATCTCCCCTTCCTCTTTTTCTCTCTGGCTCTCTTTATTCCACCTTCCTGTCTTCCCCGCTTCTCAACTCTCAGCCGATTTTCCTAACTTACGTTTCCGAATTTCTCAATACCAATGAAGGCTTCGAGAAGACTGGAGAAGCCATCCGATGCCGCTCCCTTCCTGCGCATATCCAACCAATTCAATAACAGCCCTGCCACCACTTTGCTATTACATGCCTGCTCACTGCACGGATCGCTAGGCTGTCATTTCACATATTGATGAAGTCTCACGCTAGTGTTTACACAGCCCCAGAGGCGCTGGGCGCGCGCTGACCGTCGCGGCAGGGGTGAGAGCGGCGCCACGGGTTTGAGTTCGGGCAGGACTTTCAAGGGAACCTCATGAACAAAGTATGAACTCCTAACAGGGGAGGGGGGGGGGGGGGCTTCCTAGGACAAGTTATATGCAAGGGGAGAGCTACCCAGGGTACGTGCTCCTTTATCAAACCCATTCCTATCACATCCAAGTAAACTAACGTCGAGAATTAAACAACTCAGATTGGGAGCCTTCTAATTATCCAGCAAAGGGTCACGACAACTTAAGACAGGGCCTCCCAATGCACAAAGGGGGAGGTGCTCCAAATCCAGCCGGGGCCTCGTTATCCAAAACAGGCATCCTCATTCAGAACCGCGACTATCTCATGCGTGAAATTGGGCCCCTGCTCCAGAGGTGGGACTGCTGAATGTAGAAGGCGCCTCCTAGCCCAGGTTTGGGCCTCCTAGACTGTAAGGGGGTCTCCCGAGCCAGCTAAAAGGCCTTCTCAACATTACGTTGGATCTCCTGATCTACAGCATCGGCTATCTTATTGATAATAGTGACCTCATGATCCAGAAAATCTTTTGCTGATGTAGAAAAGGATATTCAGAGCCAAAGTTATTACTCTTTAGCTCAGTTATTAGGGCCTCCTTGACATGCATTTTGGTAATCTGCCGGTGGCTACAGTGTATATAACTTGGCACAAAGGGCCTCTTAAAAAGGTATGGAGGCAAAAACATACTCCTGTCACCCTAACTGCCGGCAGGGAGGGAAAACTGCTTCCTCTGCCTACGTTGCTGCACGGCCCTGGCCAGGGGACGAATTTTTGCATGAGGTATGAGGGTGGGGGGGGGGGGGGGGGGAGAGACCAAAGCCCCATGTTTGAAAGAGAAAGGGAACTCCAAGATTCCTTCTGACCCCTTTCAACGCCGTTGGCATTGGATTGACGTGATTTTGGGGAATGGACTGACTCAGCATGGGGAGCAAGGACACCAAAGCGATGAGAAGTGCCACCCATGTTCCGCGTCCGAACCCGTCCACTGCCAGACCAGCGCATCGGCAGCGCGGCGTCTCTCAGCGCAGGTCTCTGATGCTGGACGTGACGTCACGCAGTGTGACGTCACGGCGTGTCGTCGGGCCGGATCCCGTGACTGATGGTGCAGTAGAGCCCGGGGCGGGACGGACCAATCGCTCACGGCCGCCAGCTTCGCAGCGCACTGGGCGGCTGCGCCAAACACGCCGCGCCCGTCTGTTAAACCCGACGAACGACAGGGGGGAGACGACACACCACCCCAACATGGGACCGAGCTGCAGACCGCGGCTGGTCGATAGTCAACGCGCGTCGAGATGGACGAGAGGCTGCAGGGCACCAGAGCGCAATATTCCATGAGTCGGAAGATCATATTACCTTGGACTCCCTCGTGGGGGAGGGGGGGGGGGGATCGAATCCAGTCTGCACCATGGCCCTGAGCGCTGGATTGGCCACTCAGTTGCTGGCGACCCGTGAAGGGGCGTGACGACGTGCGTCGCGCTGTGTCAAAGACATAACAAAAGATAAGATAGAGAGGGGACGCGCACTGTCGGCGACATTCGGCTTCCCAAGAGCCACGCTTCGTCGCACCGAGTGCTCTGGAGGCGCATCCCATACAAACGGCGCAGGTGTTGCGTATCGAGTCGAGCAATCTACTGATCTACGTCAAGTGCTGCGGTGTTCTTTTATTGACCGTTCAAGCTTTCGGACTTTCCGCGCACCATGCAATCACGAGTGGCGCGAACGGTCGATGCGGTCGAGTGGCGTGACCTGATTATGGGACATTGGCGTTTTGATCGCCGCATATGACAGCAAAGCTATGCATATGTCCTGCCAGATCTTTACGCACCTCCTGAATTTGCTCCATTTTCTCCTGGCCTAATGCAAATTGAGCCACAATTCTGACACTCAGAGAATTACGGAGTGGCTGTAAAAGAACCGACACATTTGCTGGGCTTATATGTCGACAATAAATCACGACAGAGTAGCTCACTCTTGGAAATTGCGAGACCGACCCGTAATTACACACCGTAACAAAAGCTTCTGACCGCCATCTATGGCAAGCCCAATGACACCCCGGGCGTACAAACCCTCACTCCCCTCACGCAACAATTTACTGTTGCGGAACAAAAACACGAAACCCGGACAGGGCGGGCAAAACTGGATGGCAAGGAATGAGTGAAAATGAGTTACATTAACGTGGCGAATAATACAATGGTGATGTTCATTTCAGAACGTTTGCATTGGCATGGAGCCTGCGAAGCACTTGTGGATAAGGTCTTCTAATTGGGATTGCGTCACCAAATGCATAGAGATTTTGAATGAGCTTGCCAGCGACCACAGCGCATGCTCCGGCGACAATTACCCGAGCAAAAGTGCAAACGAATGGCATTGTGTTATGTCCATGAAAACAGAGCAGATCACTGAGC